TAAAGTACAGAAGCGAAATCTTTTAGGTATGTATCGCAATATTCTAGTTATATGAAATGTTTGTCTTACCTGCAAGAAAACCTTATTTATCTGCGTCATGTCATTTAATTTGTACCTAATATTATCTTCCAAATAGTGTATGGACACTGCGTAAGTATACGTGTACATACATTAACGATCCTACAGCAACAAGATGCAATAGTTAAACTTCTCCCCAGCCGAACTGCATCACTTTGACCATCTGGACTTTGATATTTCGTTACGTCATTGATGTCGTCTCTCTGACGTCATCAATGACCGTATTCTGACGTCATAGAAAAAATATGTCTGCGTGTATGTATTTTAACAACCTTGGCATTTCAATTGTTTAATTGTTTTTAAAAATTGGTTTCGTAGTGGTAAATCGTATATTCATTTAAACTTTATAGTTCTAACTTGCATTTGATTTATTAGTTTGTATAATGAAAACACTGTTGACTCAACGAGCCTTTCGGACACGGTAAATAAGCAAAGCCCGTGATTAACCAGTTATGCCTCATCGCGATTGGTTGATGTTCGTGACAAGTGTGGTGACGTAATATAATGTCAAACACCAGACCACTCGACTGATCAGGTAGGACGATTGCAGCGGGCTAAATATCAATGCGCGCATAAATGTTAAAATACACGTATGTATATATATATATATATATATATATATATATATATATATATATATATATAATATATATATATATATATATATTTTTTTTTTTTTTTTTTTTTTTTTTTTTTTTTTTTTTTTGACACACACACACACACACACACACACACACACACACACACACACACACACACACACACACACACACACACACACACACACACACACACACACACTCAAAGGAATTAATCAGGACCCCGTATGCGAGGTAGAAACAATAGGGGTAAATATAATCACGGTATACATGCCACCTCAAACGTCGGTGTAGTTACAAGAAAATTACCAAAAACTAATTCAAGAGACATTAAAGAGTCTGGAAGAAGTGCTACAATTTTCGGAAACGAGAGCAAAAGAAATTCTTATCACGGGATTTTAAAAGCAAAATCGACTGGGAAAGTTTCGATCCCAGAGCGCAACCACATTCGTGGAATGCTAAATTACTAGATGTCATAAATGAGCGTTGCCTTTTCCAGAATGAAACGGATCATACCAGGATAAGAGGGCTAGATAGGCCGTCTAAGCTTGACCTGATTTTTACAAAGCATAACTATGATATTAAGGATATCGAGTACGGTCCTCCTTAGGGGAAAACGACCATGTAATGATTAAACTAAAATACTGTGTTTCAAGAAAAACTCACCGTCGGCAAGGAAAGAAAGGAAAAGTACAATTACAAAAGAAGTGATTATAGAAACCTTTGATAGTATAAACTGGGAAAGACATCTGGGCGATGAGAACCTTTATGTTCAGTATTCAAAGTTTTGTGAGACCTATAAAAAAGGAATAGAAAAAATCATATCAGAATTCAAAACTGAAGCAAGAAATAGCTAAAAATTGTTCAATGACAAATTAAAAAAAATGAGAGAAAACAAGCAGCTCCTTTGGAAAATATTCAGAACACATAGGTCTCTGGCAGTGCGTGAAAGATATAAAGTAGGAAGAAATGAGTATACCCAAACCATGAGAGAGGCGAAATTAGACTTTGAAAAGGATATAATCAACAAATGTACGTCAACCAAAACTTTTATAACTACATAAATAGTAAAACTAAGAGTAGAGATCAAATTAGCGACATCAAAGACAAAAATATTATTTATTCTAAGGAGGAAGAAATGTGTGAAATCCTAAATGAGAAATTTCAGTTAGTGTTTGTTCAGGATTCATACTTTGATATGGCAAATACTCGCTCAAACGTAAAGAACATCGAAAATATCACTCTCAATAAGAATGAAATAAAAGATATATTAAAAGGATTAGACAAGACCAAAGCAGAGGGACCAGATGAAATTTTAACTGCGTTCTCAGGGAATGTGCCGAAGAACTCTGTACTCCTTTATTGTTAATATTCCAAAATTCAATGAGACAAGGTAAACTACCAAAAAGTTGGAAATTCGTAAATATTACACCCTTACATAAGAGTAAAGACAAACAAAACCCACTAAATTATAGATCAGCTTCGTTAACTAGTGTAGTATGCAAGCTGCTAGAAAGGATAATTAGGAAACAATGGGTTGAAATACTTGAAAAAAAACATGAAATAATATCAAATAAACAATTTAGTTTTAGAAAAGGAAGGTCATGTGTAACAAATAAGTTTTTTTTTTTTTTTTTTTTTTTTGAGTATTACAAAAAAGAGACGGCTGGGTGGATTGTGGACTTTAAAAAGGCTTTTGATAAAGTGTCTCATAGAAGACCACTATGGAAATGAGAGCACCTAGGTGAAGTGAAAGGCAAACTACTCGCATGGATGAAAGACTTTCTTCATGAAAGACAGATGAGCACAGTAATTAGAGGGAATTGTTCTACATGGCGACGAGTAACCAGCGCGGCCAGCGTCAAACGGTGGATTCCAGGCTGGCGGTGGGAAGGGACTCGCTGTGCTCTGCGGATTCCTGCAGGATCCCAGCCCCCCACACCTGGCGGTGCAGCCAGAGATGCCACGGAACACCTCCCTGGCACGCGAGATTTGCTTCAAGGATCGGTGTTGGCGCCGATTATGTTTACTATTTTCATCAATGATTTAGAGTCAAACGTAAGCCTAGGTAGTTATCTGAATATGTTTGCAGATGACGCAGATACAAAAGAGGATAACAGACAACGTCTCATGCCAGTGCCTACAAAGTGGCAACTAGAACTTATGCTCGTGGAGTTGTAAATGGAAAATGGAATTAAATACCAACGTAGTAAGGTTCGGAGAAAGTAGAAATCGCTCACTATTCCAATATAAATTAGGAGACGAAATATTAAACACAGCGGACAGGTAAAAAGATATTCGGTTAATCATAAATAGAAACCTAAACCCAAATGATCATATAAATGAAACGGTCCACAAAATGCTATGACTGATTGCTAACATGAAGAGGGCATTCGTGTATGTGGGCGAAGATATGGTAAAGAAGATCATTATAGCAATCATAAGATCGTCATGAGTACGGTGCATTGGTATGGAATCTACACTTAAAAAAGGACATTGACAAACTGGAAAGAGTCCAAAGAGCGCCCACAAGATGAGCACCTACTCTAAGAGATATGAGTTACAAAGATAAATTACAGAAATTAGGACATTATCTTGGAAGAAAGAAGGAAAAGGGGGACATGATTATGCTGTTCAACTGCATTGCAGGAATGGTGAAGATAGATAAAGAGGACTTTTTGATCTTGAACACAAGAAGGACGAAAGGACACAACAAAAAGTTGAAAGTAAAAAGAGGGGATAAAGTTGTCAAAAATAAAGTTTCCTATACAGAACTATTGAAGCATGGAACAGTTTCCCCAAACATGTAGTATGTACCAAAAATGTGCATCAGTTTAAAATGTTATACGACAATTTAGATGTAGCAGACGACCACCTGATCACAGCTCTTTTCCCACATTGAAACATTTGTTAAGAACAACTAGGTAAGAACACACATAAACAAGCATATATATATATATATATATATATATATATATATATATATATATATATATATATATATATATATATATATATACACATATGTATGTATGTGTGTGTGTACATATACTTATATGTATGTATATACTCATAAATACACACAAAAACACACACAAGCATATATAATATATATATATATATATATATATATATATATATATATATATATATGATATTGATATATACGTGTGTGTGTGTGTATATACATATACATAAATCCATGTAATATACTCATAAATACACACAAAACATATACATATATAATATATATATATATATATATATATTATATATATATAATATATATATATTATATATAATATACATATATATATATATATATATAATATATATATATATATATATATATATATTATACATGCATACACACATATACACATATGTATATATACACATAAATATGTACAAACATATATACATATATATATATATATATATATAATATATATATATATATTATATTATATATATATATGTGTGTGTGTGTGTGTGTGTGTGTGTGTGTGTGTGTGTGTGTGTGTGTGTGTGTGTGGTGCTTGTGCTTGTGTGTTTGTGTGTATGTGTGTGTTTACATATTTATGTGTAAATATACATATGT